TAGAATTTTTTTAATTGATAAAAAAATTTTAAAAAAATTGTTTTTTGATTTTTTTTACTTTTATTTAACAAATTTATGCATTGAAATAATTTTGTTAATTTTTTATAATTTGTAATATACAATAAAATTTTGGATATAGTTTTAAAACATACTTTTAACTTTGAATCAAAATTTAATTATATTGTTATAATATATTTAAAAATTTTTCTTAAGTAACCTTATTATATAGGGTTTTAAATATATATATTTAAATTTTTATTATATTTTACTAATTAATTGTTGATTTATAAATAAAATTAAAAATCAAAATTAGTCTAAAAACTTTTGTATCATACTATATATGCCTAATAATCTTAGTTAATATCTTGCAATCCTGGTTGAAATTCTTTTAGTAAATTCTAGTTATATTGACAAGTACTCTATTTGATTACAAGTTCAGTATAAGGTACAGAAAATAAATTGACAATTATCACTAAAGCATCACATATGTTATAAAATATCCACTGGTTAGCCTGGGCTTGAATTAAACCCTTCTTAAACTTTAGAAACAATGTATAGAGCTAGTAAGCATCAATTACCTGATTACCAGATATATATAACATATAATGGCCATAATTGGGAATTAATCCTTCTCAAATTTAAAATAATCATAAACTCTTTTTACTAATTCTCTAACCAATACTCCAAAATGGTGTTCAGACTAAAGCATATCTTTACTTTTAACAAAACCTATATACTTTCTTTAATACAACTTGACAGACCTTAGCAAAACATACTTATACCATTTATTGTTTTATTTATTCTTTTAACAAAGTAAAAACAAGAAGACTTTTTAGTTTTTACTCACTCAAGCTCTGATAGCAAGAAAGAGTTCCCCAGGGAAAAAAACAGTTTATTTGATTTCTCTCTTTCTTTTCATTACCATGATATCAATATCTCTATTAGAAAGGATATCCTAAAAGATTGTTAGATATCTTGGTCTCCAAAAATCTTTACAACATAAGTATAGCTACCTTTTTAGTATGTTTTCAAAATTCTTTAGTTTTTTGGAGAAATTTTACCTATCTTAATTTGATCTTGAATTTTTGATTACACTGGATCTACTGGGTTTCTATTGGCTGAAAATCTGAATTGGACAACAATAAACAAGTAACAGATAAATAAAACAAGAACACATCTCTACTTGTATTATATAACTTTGATAATATCATTATTTCAAACAGGAAAAGCAAGATAACAAAGTATCGGTTTTGATATAGTTAGGTTTGCATATATACTTCCTTTTACTTTTCCCTCTCTCTTCTTTTTTTTTTATTCTTCTCCATATATATATAAATACAAACAAGATGAACAGAATATTTTTCTCTATGGAATTTTTTGGTTCTGATCCATGATTTGTGAAGAATCACAAATTATAAACTGCTTAGCAGGACTTTCAACATGACTCCCCTTGCCAAAAGAGCTACTAAGCTTGTTAATAATATCTACCATTCTTATCTCTAGTGAAGATACTCAATTGGTAACATTTGTTAGAATGAAAAACTCTCCTCAAAACATAGTCTAACTTTGGAAGAGTTGCATTTTTTTAAATAAGCAGTCTATACTTGAAGTAAGATATTATCTAAAGAATTAGATTATTAATCTTACCATGGGTTTTAAGATATTAGCTAGATCTAGATTCTATCTACTTTTCAAGTTGTAATTCCTCAGGCAATCACTAAGATAAGAAAATATTTCAAGATACTAACAAGAACAACAGTATTAAGTTTTCATCTGTATATAAAAGGATTATATTTAGATCACAATAGAACTCTATTTTTTTGGGTGTAAGAAATAAGTAACTGAAATCATGCCATTTAGCTAATATAATCACTTTAGAAAAATAGTAACAATTGAATTTAAGACCTTGAGCAATTGAAATATGACTAATAAAACTAGGTACTGAAACTATTCCTCTTCATTGTAATCTTAAAAGTTGATGAAGAAAAAGTCTCTACTCCCTCTCTTGAAAAGAATAAAGACATAGTACTCTAATAGATAATTTATTAGGTATTGAGAAATCTTAATAAAAAAGTTTACAAATTTGAGGTTGCAAAGTGTAGAAAAGTTGGTTTGTAAATAAATTTTTTTTTAGGAATCAGTAATGCTTGATAAGACTAATCAAAGAATACTGTTGTTTTTGTTAGTGATAAGTCTTGTAATAGAATATAGTTCTTAGTGATATTTAAATTATGCTATGAATTTAAGTTAGTTAGCCTTTAGGTATATCAAGTATTGACAAGGAAATTAATGTATATTTATTATAATTTGAATAAAGATGTAAACTATCTATTTAAAAAAAATTTTTTTATATTATATTAAATTATATCAATTTTTATTTCCATATTGACTTTTTACTATTGATTCTAATCCAAAAGTCTAAATTAATTAGATATTGAATTAAGAACTAATATACAAAAACATTATTAGTATTGAAAACTATTAAATTATTATATGGATTTATTTTTTGAAATTGTAAAAATATTAAGAAGGAATTGAAATATGGAATATTAAAGATAATATTTATTTTTGATAAATAAAATATCATTAAAATTTTATTAAATATTATATTATATATATTATCTAAGTTATTTAAACAGTTGAATATTTATATTATCTTATTGTTTATAAAATTATCAAACTAATTACAATTACTTATCTCAAAGAGACAACTTGTTAGATGATCAAATATAAGATTTTTATAATGATCTATAGGAAGAGACACCAGATATTATAGAAAAGGAATTATTAACTATCTTGCTCAAAACCAAATATCTTTTATATTTTTTTTTTACAACTTCTAGTAATTATTATAGTATTAACTAGAAAATTGTCATATTACTATATATTTTATAGATATTATAATCTCAACATTTGCTAAATTAGTATATGAAATAGCTATATATAAAAAACAATATTTTTTTAAACAGATTACAATATTAAATATTAAAAACTTGGAATTTTAATTCAATCCATAGATAAGTACTATTTTATTTCTATAAATTGTTTTTAGAGATGTTGTAATATTGACAAGTAGATTGAGTCAAATAGGTTTATGTATATATTTATGTCTATATTTATCATGATTTTATAAACATATACTGTAACTCCAGGCTGATTGAAAATCAATAATAACAATAAGTATATACGGTATGTATTTTAAGTTTTTAAAAAAATTTTAAATCCAGAAACAAGGATTTTAATTCAAACTTGAATTGCATTGTATTAATTTTAACTATTATTATAAATAAATAATTTTTACAATAATAGTGATTTCTCAATAATTTAATTTTGTGGAACACCTAGCATTAATGTTGGCAAGTCTGTTACTAGCACTTATGTAATGCTAAGGTTAGTTGTGCTTTTTTTCTTCATTTGAAGCATGTGATTTAACTTTACGGGATTTTCTTATTAACAATTGTCCTTTTTTCTTTTCTCGCCTGTTTCTCTTGCCATAAGTCCCTTTTAGCGACTTCCCAGGTTATCCTTCCTAAGCTGGCAGTTCTCTCTAATTTAAAAATAAATCTCAATATACAGTATAATTGGTTGACATTATTAATCATTGACATTTAATTGCTTGTCGCTTCTAATTCTTTTTTTCTTTCCTTTATATTGATGACAAAATAAGCTATCGCATGTAACAGTAGACTATGGCACAGACAATAAAAGACATTATTCAAACTCTCTATAGTTACATCACTATCTCATGCATGATCAATAAACATTAAATTAAAATATCTAGTTATCTCTACTACAGATATCGAAATTCTGGGCGCGTGACGCGAAAATCGCGTTACGAGGTCGCGCTCCACAAATATTTAATGTGTTAATTTCAAAACTAACAAGACATAATGTCCTCAATTTGAAGGCGAAAAGGCTTATTCATGAAAGGTAGGGATTAGAGGAGAATAAAAACAATACCTGGTATCATTATCTGTGAGATTTTGTTCTAACCAAAATGCATATCCAATGTTTATTCTTAATTTATTCCAAGGATTTATGAAAGAAAACAGCTTTTTATAACCATGTGTGATTAACGTTAAAAAGCAATATCTACAATTAGGATCGTCGATACAGTTTATGATTAATGCACGGAAAGTCCGTTATCGATTGCTCTTTTTTCACATGAACCCTATTAATTAAACCAATGCGAGTAAAATAAACTTTGTCGGCTTAAATTTGGCTAATAAGAAATTCCTGGATATGAATATATAAGAAAATCCGTTCGTCGACTTTTTATTACCTTGTGCCTCGAGGTATTTTTTTATTTTCGTGAAATGCAATAGCTTAAAACCATCTGGAATTATAAATTACAACCAAGAAAAAGTAATTGAGTATACGTGATCTGAATAGTAAAGAATGTCGGATGAAAAAAAAATGGACGAAATCGAACCTTCGGAGAAACTGGAGACAATCAATCTCGATGAAAAATCAGTTCCAATAGAAGAAATATCAGAAAGTAAAGTCATGGAAGAAAAAACTAAACAGGAAACAATAAAAATATCAAAACTAGACTTAGGACTATTATTCATTGGTTTAATATTTGCCTGCTTTTTGGCAACGTTGGAAGGTAAAAATTGTTTTGATCTTTATGAATTTTTTCGCCTTGCGTGGTGCTTCATTTTCGTGTTCAAAACCAGGTACAATTGTCAGTACTGCATTACCTCGAATCGCCAGCGATTTAAAGGCCATTGACAAATACAGTTGGGTATGTGCTCCTTTTTATCCAAAATGGAGGCCTTACAGTATTACATATAATCACATCTCCATATTAATATGCCTCGCTTCATTTCCCCGCTTAATATGCATAGGTTGCAACCGCCTACTTATTAACTTATGTAAGTGAAACTTTCTATCGTGCTAGAAACAGAATACCTAATAATTAAACAATATTTCGTTTAAATTCTCAGAACGCTTTTCAACCAATATATGGCAAAACTTCAGATATCTTCGGTAGACGTGCAACGATGATTTTCTCCTTCATGATATTTTTAATTGGTTCAGCAGGAAGTGGTTCTGCGACATCAATTGATATGCTTATTGCATTCCGTGTTATACAAGGCGCTGGTGGTGGTGGAATTATGTCACTGGTGTTTATCACCATCAGTGATATATTCCCGTTGGAAGAGAGGCCAAAGTATCAGGCTATTATTTGGGCTACGTTTGGTGTCTCAGCAATAGTTGGTCCGATCTTAGGAGGGGGTTTCGTTGATCATTTAACTTGGCGTTGGGCTGTATGTATTCCCATCTATGTATTTTACTCAAGCGCGCTTGCAGTGAATCTTCCTTACGCCTATTTTTTCCTTTATTTAGTTTTATATAAACCTTCCTTTTGGCGCACTCGCAATTCTCTTTGTCCTGGCATTCTTGAAACTTCCATTTGCCTACACTTCATTTAAAGATAAACTGTTACGCATTGACTGGTTAGGTTCAGTTTTCATTATTCTAGTTGTCTTTGCAATCCTCCTGCCCACATCATGGGGTGGAAACGATTATCCCTGGAAATCGGCTCCTGTGATTTCTCTATACTGCGCAACTGCTGTATTAATCGGAATATTTGCTTGGATTGAACACCGCTGGGCTGTCGAGCCAATCATTCCTGGACGTATCCTCAAGAACTTGACTGTGGCGGCCGTATTTACTACAAATTTCCTATCGGGTGCTGTTTTATTTTCGCTTATTTACTATATCCCTGTTTTCTTCCAAGTTGTTCGCGGCGAAAAAGCCACTAGTTCGGGCTTACAACTGTTACCTCTGGCCTTTGGTCTTGTGATTTTTTCAATGGTGATTATTCTTCACATGATATAACCTATGCATTATTTATACACAATCTTATTTTTCGGGGTTAACAGGTATCTGGGGCAATCGTACGCAAAACTCCAGGTGGTTACAAAGTTTACATAACCATTGGATGCGCGTTAGTAGTCGTAGGAATGAGTCTGTTAAGCACCTTATCCGAGGAAACATCACGTATAAAAGAAATTTTTTACTTATTAATTCCCGGAATTGGTTTTGGTTTTGAATTACAAATGTGTTTAATCGCTGTTCAAAGTGCTGTTGCCCAAAACGGTATTCTTTTTTACTCACTCCTATATTATTTTGTTGCACTCTCCAAAAATCATAACAAATCCAACTATTCATTTTTACTAAAAAAAATAGATATGGCTATCGTTACCTCCCTTGCTGGTTTCTTCCAATCAATAGGAGGTAGCATAGGTATTGCCATTGCAAGTTCTGTACTTAACAGCTATCTGTCGGCTCATATTCTCGACATTCCGCCGAATTTTCTTGTAATTATATTTATTATCATCCCGAATCCTTTACATGTTCTGTTAACTTGTTTCAAGAAAATAGTAAAAGATTTTCAAAAACTAGACACCTGACGTAATAGAAGTACTTAAGAGTTCGATATCAGGGATATCATCGTTACCAGAGCCAGTGAAGTCATTAGCAATACACATCTACGTGAAAGCGTTACATCGAGTGTTCCATGCAGGTATTGCATTCTCTGGTATCGCCTTTATATCTTGCCTGTTCATCAAGAGGTACAAGATGGTCAGTATGGAAGAATCAGCTGCTGTTGCGGCCTAATTTAATACAGCTCGTTTGAGGCTCCAGCATATTTCAAAAGAATTTAATTACATACAACGAGATTTTTATTTAATTGCCTTGATATCTCATCTACCAATGAAATGTTTTTCCGGAACATGTGACGTTATAAAAGTCGCTACATCATTTGGTTGTATCAAACTATTATATTAATAATTTGCCTAAATTTTCTTAGAATATGAAATATTCTAGAATCAAAAATATATCTATATTGAATTAATCGAACAGGTTACAATTAATGTAGAACACTGATTTATTTTAGAATATAAACATATAATATAATAAACTTTTTTTGTCTCGGCTTAATATGTAAATGCTTCTCTTTGATTCGGACTTTGAGATCCTGTGTAATTACTATAACTATTAGACTACAGTATTAATAAGTCTGCATATACTGTATATATACTTTTTGACGTGTAGTTCATTCTATTATATATTAGATATTGGTTTTGAATCTATCTTATTATACTGTATTATTATTTTAAAACTTGAATAGTATATAAAAAGATTATACAAAATTGAATTGATTGTAATAAATTTTATATCAAAGATTTTAATAATTAATTATTGATTTTAAAATTAATCTACTTGTTACTGTGTATTAATAAAAATATTTGTTTTTTGTTTACTTTATATTAAGGATCCTAACGATTCTCTTCAATTTTATATTCGATTCTCAAGTTTATATTAAATTTAATAAGTGAGGTATACCCTACCATCATTTTTAATAGTGTTCCAAACCTCATGCGATTCTGTTCGATTCTATTCGATTCCAATTTTCAGAACTATACTTTATATATTTGAATAAGTTTCAAAAATAATTTAATCAATAATTGAATGTTCTATTATAAAAAATTTTAAAAAAAGTGTATACCAGTTACAAAAATTGTATAGTATTAAGCACTTAGAACTAGTTGAAGATTTGAAAAATATTAAATAATTAATTGTTTCAAAAAATTTAACCAAATTTTATTTTCAAGTATTTAAATAAAAACTCTTGAAAAAATAATATTGAATTTTATATTATATAATAAAAATCAATAATTAGTAATATTGATTATATTAAATAATTAAAATAAACAAAAATATATAAAACTGATTTAAAAAAATTGGAAACAGATTTTATAAATTGATACAATTTTTATAAATATTAATTTAAATAAAAAAATTTTTAATTGATATTATAAAAATAAACTTTGTATTTTAAATTATATTTAAGCAACTATTAAAAATAATTATAAATTTACAATAAACTAAAAATATTAAATATAAATAAATAAATATTATATTGTATACCTTTTGTTATATTATTAATATAAATAAATAAAATTTTTGTAAATATTATTTTTAAAATTATTTATAAAATAATTATAGTTTTTAATAATACAATACTTTAAGAAAACAATATATTAATATATAAAAACAAAATTATAAAAGAATTTAAATTTAATAAAAATATATAAAAAGAAATTAAATATTGAAAATTGAAAATCATAAAATAAATTAAAAGTTAAAAGTTAATTTTATATTATAAAATAATATTGTATTTAAAAAAATTCTTGAATTTTTAAATTTAATATCAAGATACAATAACTATCAATAAATTAGAAATATTTTTAAAACTTTAATAATCTTAATATAAAATTTTTATTATATTTTTAATAATTTATAAAATATAATATATAAAAATTTTATATATTTTAGTTTGTTTAATACAAAATTATAAAAAAACTTAATTTTTAAATTTACATATTTTTATATATTTTTAAACTAATTATATATTTGATTTTTTATAAATTTTTCTTAATCTTAATATATATTTTAATAATTAAATATATTAAAAATTAATTAATAACAATACTTAAAAATATTTTATTTATATTTTCTTAATAAAAACATTTAATATTTTAAAATTATTAAGAGTTTTTTTTTGTAATATATTAAATTCTTTATTTTTATTTGTATATTTTTATTTTATAAATAAATAAAATATTAATTTTAAGATTTTTATTTTAATAATTTATCAAATAATAAATTTTTTATTTTTATAATAATTAAAATAATTAAATCTATAGGCCAATAATACAAAAAGTAATATTTTCAAGTTTGTCTTTAGTTCAATATTCAAAAAAACAAAAAAATATATTTATTTTCATATATGGATTTATTGAATATCTTATATATATTATATTTAATAATTCTTAAAACATAACTAAATTTAATTAAAATATATAAAGATGGTATTTTTAGTTTTTTTAATAATCATAAGCTAAAAACAGGTGGAAACATAAAAGGTTATATAAGAAAAAACTTCTAGTTTAACTTCTATAAAAGTCTATATTTCTTTTGATATAATAGATTTCATATTTTCAAAGAGGATAAATATAAATACTATTATATGTTTTCAGAATTTTTTATCTCAAATAAAAAATTTTATTTGCATCATTTTTTTTTATTTAAGTTTTGTATCATATTTTTATAAATTATTACTATTATTAAAATTTTTTTCAATAGTTGATTTTCTTGCCATTATGTTCAATTACTTTCAAAATAATATTTTTTATATTATTTACTAATATAAAAAAGAGATCTTCATTTATATTATCTCACTCTTGACAAATTATATTCTGAAAATTATTATTTGACAATTTTTTTTGCTAATCATAAGTTCAACTCTTTTTTTATTTTCTTCTTTAAAATCATCCACAAATTTTTAATAAAATTTATATTAAGCAAATAAGTGAACCAGTTAAGAATCTAAATGTTATAGCTTTTAAAAAAATGGATTATTTTGCCTACCTTGTAAACTGGAGGGTTGTCTTGCTGAAAACAAAACTTGCAATTGGTTTTAAGAATATAAAAGAACAAATGGGCTTTAAGAATTTTATAATATTTGTCAAAATTAAAATTTTCAATAAATAAAATTAATGCAATTGGTTTTTTTTCAGTAAAAGCTCTTCATACATAGAAATTACAATGGTTTGGTTTATACATGTGGCATAAATTATTTTGCTGTTGACTCAATTCCCAAAATCCTCAAAAATAATTGTGTCATGACTCAA